TTTTTTCAATAAATAAATAATCTAGCATCTAATAAATTGACGACACCTACTGCTAAAAATTGACTCACTTACACGTCAATATCAGATACTAAGAGTTTATTAATTGTGTCAATTGCCAAAAGTGTGCCAATTGTGCGTCCTTCAACGGGGGTTGAATATGTGTTTTTGAAAAGACTCTTTAATAATAGATAAACATTAATTCCAACAACACGATTATTTATAGTTTGACAAATACATTTATCCACAAAAGAAAAACAAATATAAAATTACAATTTGATTGTCAATCATTAATGAATGTACCTGTAATTTAAGAACTGCTGTTTTAACCAATCGACGTTGGTTAGTATTTCCGGATATATCCGATCTATCAAAGTGATCGGAACATATAATCGAATTCTTAGCTCGCTTATAAAAGTCATCTCTTTTTTCTCTGGCGACAATCGAGATTAATTCTGCACACGTAAATTGCTAGGAAATCTAAAATAAAAAAGGAAAGCTAAGTATCTAATGAGAGTCCAACAAACAGACACAAAAGCAGCATTAACTAATTTTAACCAACCAATTTTGAAGTTCTACTAACAAATTAAAAAAAAATAATTACAACCAAGTCTACTCCATGCATTTACTGTTCTGTTAAACCAAAGTTTGTCCATGTATTGGCGAGCCTTGGCCAAACATTTGTAGCGGTGGCTTAAAATCAAATTCAAAATTTAATATTCTTTATTAGTTTAAAGCTTAAAATATAACTTATAGTTCAAGTACTTACCGAAAGTAAAATACTCCGGCCGATAAATTGCTTTTTCGGGCATTATTTTTGCAGCTTTTGAATACACACTGCGGCATTGTGAGACGAGTTGACATTGGCTGTGTTTGAAGCATAGATTATACACTTATTATATTTGAGATGCCAGCTGATTAAAACTTTTAAGCGCCGGTTTATGCAGATCAATTTATAAAATAAAAAGGTTTTATTTAGCAATAGATTTTAAACATTAAAAAAATTATTAAAAGATAATTAAATGTTTATTAATCAATGAATTCGTTTATAATTTTGGTTTACAATACAGAGTCCACTGCAGTGATCTATAACCTACTTCTGCGTGACGACAATATGATGACGACAATTGTTATGTTAAGAGTCATTTGTACTTACCTGCAAATTATAGCACATTATGTCGAAGAGTAATGTGTTTTTATGCATTCGTTCTCTGAATTTCTTTAGTGGCACAATGGCTACTCCTTTGTCTTGTATCAAAACGGCAGAATTTCTTCAAAATAATATTTGCATGTGCTAAAACAACAATGTGTTAAAAAAAATCACTGAAATAAGAATAAATCCCGAAAAGTTACAAAGTGTTAATTTCTGCCGTTCTCGTTAACTTGCTGCTGCGATATGTGGCGTAAGTGTTCGATTAGTGATTCTTACTTTCATTTTTATCACTAACCCACAAAATGACAAAACTAAATACACTATCGATAACGCTTATCGACAACAATAATGCGCATCACTATGCCCGTCCATAAGACTCGTGGATAGAAGAGAGAGCGAAATACTCGCTTCACCGCTCCGATTTTTTATGACCCAAACTGCACGGACAAAATAATTCTACTATAGTTCACTTCAAATATAATAAGTGTATAATCTATGGCTGGCATCACTAAGCGTTACAGGTTATCTTTATACCTAGCTACTTTCGTATTACCGAATAATGTTATTTACATATCGGAAGCCGACTCGTTCATTGTGCTTAGTGCGAGTTTTTAACGTTCTCGATAGCGTAAAAGTTAACTCAAGTTTGTATGCAGTCGGAATGTTTGCCTACGTTTGCCGCTAGGGGCACTGTTCCAACTCCATACAAATTTGAGTTAACTTTTACATTATCGAAAACTCGCACTAAGCACACAGGACGCTGGAGGCTGTGGAGCGAGAACTTTTTGGAAAGGAATTTAAAATAAAAGACAGAAATATATTTCGTAGCAATATTTTATTTTGCATTTGAAAATGTATCTAATCTATTAATCTTAATGTCTACAATTACTAGGTAGGATGTAATCCAGTTACTAACTACGTAAGTGATAGTTCAGCTCTTCATTGAGCACTCTCATTTCAATAATCAATTAAATAAGGGCGTTACACAGTCGATTAGCTTATAATTGCTGATCGTTATCGCCGCAAAATTATTCTAAAAGTTAGGAGAAACGTTAAGCGTATGTAACAACTATTGTCAAACGTAACAGTAAATATATTTTAGTATGAATAGTTGCAGTATCTATCCTTCTTTGTATAGTTTATATAACGTCTGTGCTAAATATGACAACTCCTGTCAAAACCGTTTTATTTCCCGCCTCCATTTTGTTTTGTGTTTAACATTATCCTTTTTTAAACGCTTGAATTTAATGACGTGTGCGTTCTACACTTCAATAAACAAACTATGCTATACTACAAATCTGTGACTAGTTTCTCTGCATTTTTATTGTTTAACTAGCTGACCCGGCAGACTTCGTAGTGCCTCAATCGATAAATAAAATACCTAAACTTTTGTATAAAATAAAATTAAAACAAACAAAAGGAATCCGTCCAACGGGGGACACATCAAAGGAAAAACAAAATTGTTATTTTCATTTAATTCCAAGCATTTTCATATTTATGTAAATCTTTTAAACCTTCTCTGGACTTCCACAAATAATTCAAGAGCAAAATTCATTTTTATATATATAGATAGATGAATGTAAAATCTTATTATTAATTATCTGTTGATTAAAATTATTATTTTGTGTACCAGGTTTCAGATCATCGTTCAAATATATTTGTTTTGTTTACTTCAATAGGCAATAGAAAATGCATTGAATGGTAGTTTTTAATCTTAAATTAGATCGCATGCCAAAAATGTAGGTACACCTATGTATTACCTTAACTGACTGAACTAAAATGAGTTGGTGGTGACGGTTCATGTTAATATATTTTATCAAGGTCAAACTGTAAATAGAGCTGCACAAAGTTCGTACCGAGAATAGCTCTTGATTCTTCATAAAATTTTAGTAAAGGGCATTGGCATACTAAATGTCATATTATCTGTGACGCAGAGAAAAGTATGGAGGGTAGAGGTAAGGAGAACCGTCTCATATAGGAGAAGCTTGGAAAAGTGTCCCACTTTCAGCACTAAGTAACAGTTCAATAATCCTCCAGAATGGCGCTAGCATAGGCACAGGGTATGATGTGAATTGAGCAGTTGTTAACTGATTGAAGTATGCTGAGTTAGGAAATTTAATATATTTAATGACTAGAGTAGTTAGTGACCTCACATGTTTATGTAGTCTAAACTAATTTCGTCAATATAACCTAAAATTATTGCTGTGGTAAAACGTGGAGACATCGATTGCATTTTCTTATCACCTTTAAATAAAATACTTTTTGTGATTTGTAGTGCTTACAATTCTTTCGTCCTTTTTTATTTCTCTATCTTAATCTAATAACTTTCAGCGCCTTTTTTTAAATTTACCCGGTTGCTACTGTAGCGTCACCCTTATTTAGCAGATTTTAACGGACACTTTTTCACACACAAATACGGTTCTCCTTACCTCTACTCTCCATGGAGAAAAGGTAGAGAACTTAAAAATTTGAATTACCTGCTTATTACTGCCGCTCCTATTAATTTTTTTTTTATTATGACATACGAGTTTTGAATTTGAAGCAAGTTTTTAGAAACATTTTAAAAGAGCATCAAGCACCAATATTGACCTTTTCAACACGAGACAATATAGTCTAATGATTTAAATAACACAGATTCTCTAAGGGTGATATATTTTAAAGCTATTCATCGCAAATGCTTTCAAGTTTCTACTAAAGTTAATACCTATCGTTTTTTTTTAATAATTATTATGGTTCCGTTGTTTCTCCTTGAAAATTAAGTAAAATTAAGTTATAAATGCTCATATTTAATGACAACCTATACAAAAAATCGCTATTTTAACAATTGATCTGTCAAACATTTTATAGATTCTAAAATTCACTATCAATTTTGACTAAATAAATAACATTATTTAAAATTCCTAACCTAATTTTATAGTCTATTTTACCAATATGTTTTTAATATGTGTATTATAAATAAAATTGCAACTAATCTGTTTTATTATAAATAATCAACGAAAGAGTTTGTAATTTTTTTTTTATATACCTAATCAATATTCATAGTGAATTTATTGTTTATTTTTAAAGCCATAATTTTANTTTAATGACAACCTATACAACAAGTCGCTATTTTAACAATTGATCTGTCAAACATTTTATAGATTCTAAAATTCACTATCAATTTTGACTAAATAACATTATTTAAAATTCCTAACCTAATTTTATAGTCTATTTTACCAATATGTTTTTAATATGTGTATTATAAATAAAATTGCAACTAATCTGTTTTATTATAAATAATCAACGAAGGAGTTTGTAATTTTTTTTTATATACCTAATCAATATTCATAGTGAATTTATTGTTTATTTTTAAAGCCATAATTTTAGATTAGTGTTAATGTTTCAACAGTGTGAGTCAGTGTGTACCTATTTAATAAGGTGTATGGCACATTAGAGTAGGTACTTTTTTTGTAATTTTTATCTCCGATATTGCGAAAATAAACATGCACAGTTACTTGGGCAATATCGACTAAACATGAATACGCGAAGCTTATTGACTCGTTTTTTTTTTTTTTAGGGATTTTATGACCAGGTAACTAAGACCTTTAAGTCATGTCTTATTTTAATATATTCTTATTTTTATGAAAAATGATAATATGGAGTGAAATGAAATGAAGATGATTAATTTGAGACATTAATCAACTGGGATGAAATTAAATTAAGTGAAGTAAAATGAGATGATATGGGATCTCAGTAAAATGGTGGTCATTTACTAATATTTTTTCAGTGGACTTTTTGGAGGATCCCGAGAAGTTACGTCCAGCGGCTTTGTTTCATTTTCCCACATTTGTGCACTTTCACAGATATTAAACAGTTAATAAACCACCATTATTACACATTTAAACCTGAAGAAACACTAAATAGACAAAATAAAACAAATCACACAACTTCACTCCTCGCGTTCCCGCCTCAAAGTCCTATTGACTCGTGATGATCACTAGAGCACAAATTATGAACATGCATTATAGAATTTATAGGCTACGTATAATGTCTTTAAGCTTGTGTATATTTAAATGGTGTAGGCAAATCGTTCTCCGAAAACGTCAGGTCGCGGTCGTAGAATTAAATGTAACTATAGTTTTTATACTGCCCGTGATGTAGCACAGTTGAAAGCAACATACAAATGATAAGGATCTAACGACCTCGCGGAAAGCAGATGTTAACGACCACTTTGCTGTACATTACGTGTTCAACAAATAAACTTATTAAAACGACAGATTCTCTTTTTCCTTATCAAATAAAAATTGTTTTCTGCCAAGGACGGCCATATCGATATTGCCAACAAGTACTTAACGCTGTCTATTCTTTTTTTGTTCTCCCGAATATTTAATTAAATAGGCTGTGCTTTTTGCTTGTCAATCATCTATGACTTCCATCTTGAATGTGATCGGTTTGTGGCCGATCGGCTTCATGGCGAGACGGCCGGCATTGTTAAGGTTAATTATCTCATCATCGCTGCTTGAATTGAAGCTGTCACTGTCAGAATTGGCCTAGAAAAAAAAGGTGAATTCTTATTTAACGTAAATTATGAACCTTTGTGCCTAGCAAATGAAAATTAAAAACTAAATTGATGACGACATCATGTTCGCGTGAGCAACCTCATTTCTGAATATTGCTACTGTGGCGCACCTTTTTCATTTAGCAACATCTAAAAACGTCCCGCCGTAACACGTACATCTTAAGATGATTTTTTTTTAGGGAACGCAGCGGTGTAGGCTATGAAAATCAAATAATTTACGGCACTAAGTAGATGCGCCATAGGAATTTGCCCATAAATTAGACGTCCAAAGAATTTCCGATAAAATAAATATGTTAATCTAGAGGCCGTCACATGACGTTGCGCCATTTCATAATTTTAAAAACACGACGTTGTAAGACTTTGCTCACGCGAACGTGTTAAGTAAATAAGTAAAATATTTAAATTCTGAAACTCGTGCTTGCAAAGCGCTGTTACTACACGATATCAAAATGTAAGAAATTTCATTTGAATTATCCAATGTACTCCATTTTGTAATTGTAATTGAAATCGAATTAGAGCGAACTTATTAACAAAACAGCGTGCGATCTATTTCTATCAGCGTATGCAATAATAATTGGATCGGCTATAAGACATTTTAATTTAATTTCAGACCCGTAATTACCTAGTTAAACTAATTTTTATGGTAAGCCACCTCGTTTACAACTTACTCAAATAAAGTTGCCAAAAACGAAAAATTAGTCACGGAAGAAACACGCAAATAAACGAAAAAATAGAAGCGTTTTAAAACAGCATATATTAGAACGAGACAAACATTTATTTCTTCGTACGTCGCACGATGCTCGTTGGCAGGCGTCTGGACGTTCTCTCCTCGCCGCTGTCCACACACTACACAAAGACATATTTACAGCATACAAGTAGCATACTTTTTTTACAAGTTACATAATTACATTTTTACAATAAAGCCGGTGCTTCAAGATATTAATAATGTCATTTTTTTAAGGGATTTTATGACCTAGTAACAAAGACCTTTAAGTCATGTCTTATTTTCATTTTATTCTTTTATGAAAAATAATAATATGGAGTAAAATGAAATGAAAATGATTAATTTGAGACATTAATCGATTGGGATGAAACTAAATGAAAAAAGATGATATTGGATGAAAAATAATTACAGTAAAATGGTGGCCATTTACTGAGATTTTTTCAGTAGACTTTTTGGAGGATCCCGAGACGCTACGTCCAGCAGCTTTCATTTTCCCACGTTTGTGCACTCTCACAGATATTAAACAGTTAATAAACCACCGTTATTACACATTTAAACCTGAAGAAACACTAAATAGATAAAATAAAACAAATCACACAACTTCACTCCTTACATTCCCGCCAAAAAGTCCTATGTCAATTTAGCTAATCTGCAGACACAGATTATATTAACAGTAAATTTTTAATAGTTTAAAAACTTTCAATCTGTTCTTTAGTTAAAGTTGGCATGTGAATATGGTGTAATTTAATTATTTAATTATTAGGCAGTAGTATATTTAAGGCGTATTATTTTGCATACTATCAAACTTAATTTTAATATGTACTACTATGTAATATATTTCGGATAATTTGAATTCAAACAAATGGCAACTGTTCGGATTTTAAATGTTGGACCGTGAATTTGCGATTTGGTTTTTAACATTTGTAAATGTTAATTACACATCTTAAAGGTACATTAATTTATAGAATATAATGGAAAAATTTTGGTAACGATACAGGACTCATTTTTAATTTCGTTAAATTTAGGAACTAGATCTAGGTACATATGAAATACCGTTTTTTTTAAATACTGTTCATTAGGCATTAAAAAAAGATTCTCTCTAAATTCAAACTTTCTTAGATTCTAGATTATAGCAAAAGTTTTTAGTTGGCTGTCTTGAAACACAGGCTTACCTAGCTTTGTACTTTTTTGTACTACAGTTAAGGAGGAGGAGGAGGAGAGATAAGGAGAATTATGTCTTAAGGGAGACAAGTTAAAAAATAGGACCAGCTATAAACATTAAATTACAACTCAGAAACCCACCAAGATAACGTTAGCGTAGCCAGTGGTGCGATATAAATGTTAAAAAGTTACAATAACTTTTAAGACGCCATATTGTAAATGACACCGCTTGCTACAGTAACGCCATCTATATTGGTTGCTTTTCCACTGTCACTTTATCATACATAGAGAGGGTACTCCTTAGTTCTATTCTACATAAGTATAAACACATATGTGTTTGAGATGTTAGAAAGTTAGAATTATTAATAAGGATGATATTAGACTTGTATCTGTATATTCAATTATGTATTTTGAATGCGTTTCTGTATGTGAGTGTGTGTGTAGTATGTGATTGGTAAGTGAGTAAGTTTGCTAATTTATATAATGCTCGATCTTTTACTTATTTCTATGACTGTACAAGAGTAACCTGTTCTTCACTTTTTGATGTTGTTTCCGCAAAAAGAGCCCAATCCTCTGTTTTTGAGTTACATGTCGTCTTATAAAAACCTCATACATAAATGCGGTCGGCCAATCATAAGCATAGAGAAGATTATTGTGTATAATGACGTCAACATTCAACACAACACATTATACTCGTGACGCGGGAGAGAGAGGGAGAATCTACTGTCAACTCATCAAATTTTTTGCAGATTTATTTCTTAAAATTTTATCAGATTTTAGATTACGTATCTCGGAAATATTTACGCTTATCTTCGTGTGTTAAAATTATGTTCAGTGTGCTTAATGCGAGTTTTTTTTTAACGCACTCGATAACGTAAAAGTTAACTCAAATTTGTATGGAGTTGTAACGTTTGCTTACGTCTGCCGCTAGGGGCGCTGTTCCAACTGCATACAAATTTGAGTTAACTTTTACGCGATCGAGAAAGTTAAAAATCCGCCCTAAGCATTTGACGACAACAATGTTAGAGGCACGGCCAAGTTACTTACTGCCTACCACCTCCAGGGAAGTAGTTTCCGTCGATTGGACAAAATATGGTCCCTATATTTAATTTTATCGTGGAAAAAAAACCCATTTGATATTCAGTTACGCAACGCTATTATGCACCTAATCCAGATGAAATAAGGCCCGTTTTTACTTCACATCATCAGTGTTGGCTTACGTCAAAATCGCCGATAGTGAACTTAGTGCTGGCGGCCTCCGCGACGAGCTGCGCGGGGGCGGGGGGCGCGGTCTCCGGCGACAGAACCTACACACCGACCGGCAAGCACACGTGCGAGTGTTAGTAGTGACCAGGGTTGCCAGCTCTTGATAATCGATTTCTACTATCGCGACATTCCACAGACTATTATTTAACGGGAATATTTTAAATGTGAAATCTGTGGTGTGGATAGCCCGTTAAATAATTGTGTGTGTGTGTGTTATTCTATTTATACAGTAAAAGCTCTTTATTCGCAGGGTCCTCCTCCTTCAGTCGATCGCTCATTGCTAAGCATCGTGATGCGCCCGCCTGTGACCTTTTTTTGTAATTTGTAGCCACTTATGTCGGTCAGTGGCACAGTGNAACGGGAATTTTTTAAATGTGAAATCTGTGGTGTGGATAGCCCGTTAAATAATTGTGTGTGTGTGTGTTATTCTATTTATACAGTAAAAGCTCTTTATTCGCAGGGTCCTCCTCCTTCAGTCGATCGCTCATTGCTAAGCATCGTGATGCGCCCGCCTGTGACCTTTTTTTGTAATTTGTAGCCACTTATGTCGGTCAGTGGCACAGTGTGTCAGTGGCTCAGTCTCATGTCCAGTTACTCGGACACTTGGTCACTCCATCTTTTCCATTCGCAGAGTATATGTTCCGTAATTATGTAGCGAATACAGAAACCTTGAATATGGAATTGTAATTTACATATATGGGATTATATGCCATATCACTTAACAATATACCTTAGGCATATTTGTAATAAGGCCTATTCTACTTTTATATTTGTAGTTAGATATTGGGTTGGATACATACACATTGGAATCCTTTTTACCAATGTGTATGTGTACCGAATAATTCGCGAAAAAAGAAGTCTGTAGTCGTACTGGGTCGCATTTTTTATCCGCGAATGAAGGAAGCGCGAATAATTGGCTTTTACTGTAATTACTTTATTGACTCTGAATTTGAAGACCATACCTTTTGGCACGTTTTACACTTCCATTATTTAGAGTTGTGCCATCAGAGTACAGAATGGAATAATATGTACAGTGCAGTACAGTACAGTACAGCTGTTGGCAACCCTAGTTTAAACCCAAATGAAATGAGTCAATGATACCCTGTTTTTTGAACACCACTGCTTAAAATCCACGAGTGGACGAAGGAGCGATACATAATTCGTTTTTTAATTATTTATTTGTGTAAATGAATTCAGTTTCAACCTTTTTCTTGGTACGAAAATACACCTGCAACTAACTCAAGTGCATCTATTTTCTGTCATCTCTAATAGAGGTTGTCAATGTCAGAGTTACCGCCAAGCTGGTTCCGGGTGTGATTTGCCATATAAGTGTATTTATTTTATACTATGTATGGAACCATCTTTAAAAAAAATACCAAGGGACTTGTTAATTACAGACCAAAAGCAATTTCATTTTAAACAATTATCTTCCGAATTAAAAGTGTTCAATTGTATTTTGATTAGGTTACCAATTATATTTAACGACCTTTGTCCATTCATGTTTTTTCAATTAATCTAAAATGTTACTATTTTTTATGTATTTTTAGTATTGTTAATAAAAAAGAAATGAGGTAATGAAATGTATTTTTGTTATCAAGCAACTCTGGCTTTTAATTTCTACAAAATAGCGTTGGATTTTCCGAAATCAAGCAGCGCTTATATAATCGAGCTTTATCAACGATAAAAAGTTTTAACAACAAAAGCTGTTTTTGTTCCAGAAATGTAGGTATTAGCTTTCTATTAATGCCGTTATTGTCAGCTATGGTTTATAGATTTTTTTTTGTTTCGACCGTAATATTTCATTTTATAATATCTATATTAGATTGTAATAGACATCGTAATACTGTGATAGCATTTAATATCGTAAGGAGTAAGACCTGACTTAGTTACCAGTCTTATCTTAAAGTAAAGATGATCTTTCAACGCAATGTCGTTATTTTATCAAAATACCTTCACTTTCTTTATTATTAAGCTCTTTTTTTATTTTTTTTATTTCGCAGACAAAAGGATTGAAACAAAAGTAGCAGTCACACAATTAGCCTTTCTAGCGAACATAGAAATACATTAACTTTTAGTAACTATTATACAATTTTTACACCTGGCCAAATTTCGCCACACTGAATTTAAGTTAACCGATTGAAAATAAAAATAAAAAAACGCGGGAACGTATTGTAAATCGTAAGAGATAGTTGAAGTATTAACTCAATTAAATGTAAAATCTGACTGTCAAAGTCACTAAGTAATACAGCATGTAAATCAGAAAAAATCTTCAGTGCATTAAATTTGGCCATACGTAAAATAAGTAGGTAGATTTGTCGTTAGTTAATTAATTACCTGTCAATGTCACTAGTGTTCAAACGTCTAAAGTGACAAAGGCAAAGGAATTTATTTCAAATTCATATTAATCAAAGTAGTTTGTAACCGTTATAGGTTTTTGATTAATTGTGAACTACATGAAAATATTTAAATCGAGTTGTTTACCTCTGGTTTACTGTAGGACTGAAATCAGACAAATTTAAACCTTATTGTTTTATGGCGAAGGCTGTAATTACATACATCTTGATCGCTCATCATCTCCTTAGTCGAAACTGTGGTTTCTATACGTCGGATCGAGCCCTGGTGGATGTCCACGTCGAAGGCGAGGCACTGGAACCTTCTCAGCAGGAGCACGGCAGGTATTGGCAGGACACCGGCCAGGATCATCAGTATTGCGATGAATAGCACCCATGTTGGATACGGGGTTTTTACCACGCGACCCTGCATATGAATAAAGTGATTATATGTATTTTGGAATTCAACAGTTATTTAAAAGACAATTTAAGTCAGTATCTATATAGGTTTTTTTTTTGCTTAGATGGGTGGACGAGCTCACAGCCAACCTGGTGTACAGTGGTTACCAGAGCCTATAAACATCTACAACGTAAATGCCGCCACCCACCTTGAGGTATCAGTTCTAAGGTCTCAGTATAGTTACAACGGCTGCCCCACCCTTCAAACCGAAACGCATTACTGCTTCACGGCAGAAATAGGTAGGGCGGTGTTACCTACCCGAGCGGACTCACAAGAGGTCCTACCACCAGTATAATAGACGTGTGTGTATTATAATTTTTAATTTTAATTTTTTTGTTATAGACCCGAGCGAAGTTAAGTTAAGGTACGGGACATCGCCGACAAGATACAGGAGAGAAGGGTGAGATGGTATGGTCACGTGAAAAGGAAGCCACCTGACTACGTCGGAAATTTGGCGCTACTGCTCGACCTCCCCGGTCGGAGACCTAGAGGCAGACCCAAGACAAGGTGGAGGGACGTAGTGCTGAAGGACAAGAGAGAATGCAATGTTGCTGACGAGGATGTCGAAGACAGAGCGAAGTGGAGGAGTAAAGTCAGGAAAGCNATTTGGCGCTACTGCTCGACCTCCCCGGTCGGAGACCTAGAGGCAGACCCAAGACAAGGTGGAGGGACGTAGTGCTGAAGGACAAGAGAGAATGCAATGTTGCTGACGAGGATGTCGAAGACAGAGCGAAGTGGAGGAGTAAAGTCAGGAAAGCTGACCCCACCACCATGTGGGATAAATAGCTGGGAAGAGAGAGAGAGAGAGACCCGAGCGAAGTTGGAGCAGGCCGCTAGCTCATTACAATTCACCCGAGTATTATAAGCCGGTTATAAGAGGACTATCATTATTCACGATCGATAGAACCAAAACACTCATTAAGAATTCGATATAGTCAAAATAATGTCATTTTAAATGTTTGGTTTTTTTAAATCACGATTCAACTCATGTAGATTTATAGTTTACACATAATATTACGATGATCTTTGTTTTCTTTGTCACAAAAAGTCCGAGAAATCAATGAAGTGTGATTAAACTTTACAAGAAAACAGGTTTGAAAAAGTCCCTTATGCTGTCGCGATAAAGTTATTAATAAAACACGATATTTTCCTTGTTCGAGGCGGCGCATAGACCGTGGCTCAATCACAGGTCTGTATCGATAAATAACAGACGATATTTTCAGATACTAGTGATATAAACTAGTTAGTACTAGATAAAGAGACATAAAAATACAATTATAATAAAAACTAATAAAATGTGATCATTTTATCTTTATGGTATTGGAAAATCTTTTAAAAGAACTTAGTGTAACAATGAAGTAAAAAAAAAAAAAACCACCAAATGAAGCAAGAGAATGTTTTTCGCAATGGTATGTTGCAATGCATATAGTACTGGAGATATATCCCAAAAAGGGTGATAAGTATCGACCCCATACAATGCGAGATAAGATAAGAAGAAGAAGATTAGTGCCAAAATCGTTAAGTCACAAGTATCGACCCTATGATTCTAATGAGTATATTTCGCACCTTTAGAATTGAAGTGCCAAAATCAAAAATTCTTATTTTTTTGGAAATGTCAAAAATGTAATTAAAGTTAAGTCATTTTTTAGTTTTCGATTTTCTTATTATAATACTTTTGTAAGCGCATGATTTAAAAGAGATGGAAAGAGTACGCTTGTTCTTTTCTGTACAAACTCATAGAATACGTGTTCACAGGACAGTGTATTTGGTGCGTGTTTTATAACTTCTCGATCGCGTCAAAGTTAACTCAAATTTGTATGGAGTTGGAACAGTTTCCTTTCGTTTGCCGCCAGGGGCGGTGTTCCAACTCCACTTTTACGCGATCTAGAAGTTAAAAAACCCACGCTAAGCATACTGAGGTCAGCAGTTCTAGAGGCACGGCTAAGTTACCAAGTTACCAAAGCGATGTAAAAGTGCTGATGTCAATGTGCGCGTGCCCTGTACGATACATGACCCGTACACATAGCTTTTATCGCAGGCTTTGAGCGCGGCGACCGAAACTAGAAACTTCGTAACGAGAATAAAACCTAACACCCCCCACTCCGCCTACCATGTAGGTCGCGTTCAACACATCCACACGTTGCGCTTGTGTAGTGTTTGTGAATAAGCGCGCGGCGTGACGTCGCACTGCATGCGCATCATGAAAATTCTGCCCATCTCTCTCTCGCGCGGTCTAGCTTATGAGTGTGAAGGGGACAGTTAATGTTTTGCTTTTGTTAATGTCTATAAAATATAGCGTTGTCTTATTTTATTATTGTTTAAATATTAAGTTATTATTGTCTAATTATAATTGCATAAGTTGATAAAAAATCCTATGCAATAGCTTTACCGCGGCAGTCCCCGAGTGCCAGACGTGTTTTTTTTATCTTATTAACTGTTTTATCGTCACAGCCTAATACGCTTTCACAGCTAAATAACAGCGTTAAATTAAAATGCTATTTAACATCACTTAAAGTTTCCTTCTACTTATTATTCACAGCACAATCTCTTTACAGATTCAGTCACAGTATTCTTGCACGATGCATTTAGCGTTTTTTCTGTTGTTATTTAATTACGTTCGAAGCTTTGAATATGTTGAATTGAGAACTCGAATTGGTGAAGTGCGGGGACGTAAAAACAATTATGGCGCTGAATTTTTAGGTATACCATACGCTAAAGTCGATGACGGACGTCCATTTGGGGTGAGTTGAGATATTTCGCATTTAGATTTGACTTTAACACTAATCATACCAACCTTTACTGGTATCGACTTCTACCATAGCTGGTAGATAATGGTATACGACAAATATTACTCAAAATAAACAAAACAAAAAAAAGGATAATAACTGTAGATTAATTGGTAAAAAAAATAGTCATGAAGTTAAATGTGCAAAAGCAATAAGATGATGGGTGCATTTTCAATGCAAAAGTTCGAAATGGGTCATTTGACCTGTTATGTTATATTTAATGTTAAAAACAATCTCACGTTATGAACTCATTTATAATTGTAAATAGACACGCTTTAACTAAAACCGACTTCAAATAGAAAAAAAAAGATATTCCAACACAAATTAATATACACTAAAAACAATAATCATCGAAATCGGTTGGCGTGATATTGAGTTATTGAGCTATTCATCTATTTGTCGCGCACGTACTTAATGCAAATTTAAGACTTATATGGTTTTCACATGGATACCATTATCTAAATTGTAATGGGACCACACGGGAAGCGTCAGCTTTCTAATAAAAAAAGAATCATCAAAATCTATTCACCCAGTCAAAAGTGATGAGGTAACAAACTTAAAAAAAAAACATACAGTCGAATTGAGAACCTCCCCCTTTTTTAAGTCGGTTAAAAATATGCATCTATCCGTTTTGTTTGTAACTTACACAATATGTGTTTATATATCACTTGCTTTTTCTTTTTTTTCCTTATCTATTTGCTGGTAGCCTAAGGAGGTATACCAGCTTCTCGCGGACGGATAGGCTAGCGCACGGACTCAATCTGAGATAATTTGCTAACACTAGCTGCCTAGGAAGAGCAGAGCTTCGCAAAAGCTACCACCGGATCGTAATCGCGACCCACTGAGAAGATCCGAGAAGAAACTCATTGTGTCTATGAGATAGTTCCCTCTTCGAACTCATGTGACCAATGAATCACTCACATTCGCTATTTTGTGTTATATGAAAAGGTTTTTTCATGTTTCATAGTAAACATTACTACTCGTATTCCACGACATCAAATGTCTTTGTACAGAAACCTTTATGTGAAAATAGAAAGTTAGTTACTATTGGAAAATGAATGATATCTTATTCTTATCTATATACTTATATATACCTAGTCAGGTCATAAATTCTGTCACATGTTTAATGTAAAATAATTGAAACAAGTTTATTCATTATGTAACCATTCATATACCAAAATGAACTTAACAAAACATAGATTCTTATGACACTAAAGTTTATTCAAAATGACCTCCGTGATTTTGAATACAGGCCTTCAATCTGCGCGGCTAGTCGTCTATCGCAGCACGAACGAGGTCCATGTCAATATCGGCGGCTGCCTTAATCAAGGATGTCTTGAGTGACTCCAAATTGGGATGAGGCTTTGAGCACGCCTTTTCCTCCAAGTGTTGCCATATCTTGTAATCTAACGGATTCAAATCTGGACTGGAGGAGGGCCAGTCTTCGTGCCGGATGAAGTCGATTTCACGCGCCGCCAGCCAGTCTTGTGTGCTCTTCGCTCTATGAGCTGGCGCCGAATCTTGTTGGAATACCCAGTGCCTGTTATTGAACATGGTATGAGAAACAGGTTCCACAAGGTTCGTCAGGACTGTATTTTGATACACAACTGCATTCGTTTTTACACCTTTCTCACAAAAATGTACCTCTGTTAAGCCCCAATAAGAAACTCCCAACCATACCATGAGCGAGGATGGAAAATGACCTCGTTGGACACGCGGAATACGGTTGCTCGCTTCTTCACTACTGTGTGCGTACACCTTATCATTTTGTTTGTTGTAGCTCTCTTCTACGGTAAAAATTTTTTCATCCGAAAAAAGAATTTCCCGATATTTTTTTCCCGCGTACCGCTTCAACAAAGCGCGGCATCTCTTCAGTCTCAGGTCCATTAGACGAGCATTCAAACGATGTCCTGTTTTTCTTCGATATGCCCGAAGCCCTAAGTCTTCATTTAACACCCTTTTCACCGTGGTTCTGCTTAACCCCATCTGAAGGGCCAACAGTTTCTGCTTACGTTTGGGATTTCTTTGAATTCGCGCCTTCACAGCTTTTATCACTGCTGGAGTCCTAACAGACCGAGGGCGACCACTTCTTGACCTGTCATCTACACTAGAGTCTTCATTGTATCGTTTGATGGTACGATAAACGAATCTTTTGGTTATATTCAAATTTTTCAGTATGTT